GGGGTTAATCCTTTGCATTGTTTAAAAATGCTGTTTGATCCTGACATCTCTGATCCTCCCCTTCCTGTGTCTCCCTCTTATCTGCTAAGAACTATCCTGTGGAGATGCTCAGTATAGTGTGTATTGCTAGAAGGGTTTTTTTTCTTGGGACAATGCATGTGATCAGCAGATGGCCGATCAGCATTGTCCAGACATAGGTAACTGGTTCTGCATCCTCCTACAGCAGAAATTGAACTCCTCCTACAAGTTGCAACCAGTGCTATGCTGGACACTGATAGAAGTCACGACTGCTATATACTCCTAATGAAGGGTTTTTAGCAGTTTATATTTACTAAAATAAATGCATTTCCATGTGTGTACTGTGGGAGACCAGATATACAGTGAAGGATATAAGTATTTGATCCCCTGCTGATTTTGAATGTTTGCCCACTCACAAAGAAATGATCAGTCTAAAAATCTATTGGTAGGTGTATTGTAACACAGACAAAATAGCAACAAAAAATTAAAAAATGCATGTCTAACAAATTATGCACTGATTGCATGTTCATGAGGGAAATAAGTATTTGATACCCTTCACAAAACATGACTTGGTGGGAAATCCCTTGTTGGCAATCAGAGGTCAGATGGTTCCTGTAGTTGGCCACCAGGTTTGCACACCTCAGGAGGGATTTCTGCCCACTCCTCTTGGCAGATCCTCTCAAAGTCATTAAGGTTTAGTGGCTGTTTGGCACCTCCTATTTCAGCTCCCTCCACAGATTTTTCAATCTGCTTAAGATCTGGAGACTGGTTAGGCCACACCAGGACCTTTTAATGTGCTTCTTGAGCCACTCATTTGTTGCATCATTGTCATGCTGGAACATCATCCACAACCCATTTTCAATGCCCTGGCTGAGGGAAGAAGGTTCTCACCCAAGATTTGATGGTACATTGCCCCATCCATTGTTCCTTTGTGTTGCAATTGTCCTGTCCCCTTAGCAGAAAAACACCCTCAAAGCAGAATGTTTCCACCACCATGTTTGACAGTAGAGATGGTGTTCTTGGGGTCATAGGCAGCATTCCTCCTCCAAACACGGCGAGTTGAGTTGATGCCAAAGAGTTTGATTTTGGTCTCATCTGACCAACACTTTCAACCAGTCCTCCTCTGCATAATTAAGATGTTCAGTGGCAAACTTCAGACAGGCCTAGACATGTGCTTTTTTGAGTAGAGGGACCTTGTGGGCACTGCGGGATTTCAATCCTTCTTGGCTTAGTGTTACCAATTGTTTTCTTGGTGACTGGTCTCAGCTGCCTGGAGAATAATAAGATCCTCACGTGTGGTTCTGGGATGATTCCTCACTCTTATGATTGACATTCCACGAGGTGAGATCTTGCATGCTGCACCAGACCTAGGGAGACTGACAGTTGTTTTGTTCCATTTGAAAATGATTGCACCAACTGTTGTCACCTTCTTACCAAGCTGCTTGCCAATAGTTTTGGTAGTGTAGTCCAGCCTTGTGTAGGTCTACAATCTTGTCCCTGACATCCTTGGACAGCTCTTTGGCCTTTGGGTGGAGAGTTTGGAATCTGATTGTTTGATTGCTCCTGTGGACAAGTGTCTTCTATACAGGTAACAAAATGAGATTAGCAGCACTCCCTTTTTAAGAGACTGCTTCTAATCTCAGCTTGTTACCTGTATGAAAGTCACCTGGTAGCCAGAAATCCTGCTGAATGGTAGGGGATTTTCCTCATGAATATGCAAATCAAGTGCATAATTTGTTAGACATGCATTTCTTTAGAACTTTGTGTTACTATTCTGTCAATTATGCTATACACCTACCATTCGATTTTCAGCCTGATCACTTCTGTGAGTGGGCAAACATTCAAAATCAGCTGGGGATCAAATACTACTTTCACTGTAGTGCTTGCAGGGTCCTGGGTTTAGTAATACTTTAATGTTGAACTCCAACTTTATCTTCAGTTTTGCACATGCTCCTGTCCTGGAAATTGCTTACTCTAATTTATTTGCATGCTAAAAGCTTGGCACAGTTGGTATTTGAAGGTGCAGCAAGCCAGAGAGAGCCCGCCTCATTTCCTGTTTGAAGGATATCCAGCATAATCTAGCCCTTTCCTCCCATACCCATTGACTGTCCATGGCCCACCCTTTTTTTTTTTTTTTTTTTTTTTTTTATTGAATTTCTGTTTCAATCATAGAGGTTCAACATCAAATGTGGTCATTCTCTAGGGTGGTCTGTTTGCAAATATAGCCTACCTTGGAAACACCCATTCCACCAGACTGGCATCTGCGCATTTTAATATTTGCATAACTCCTCCCAAGTGCCATCCCACTGCTTACATCAGGACTGAAGGCTCTTGAGAGGAGTACTGAGACAGGGCGCTGTTTTTAGTAACCTGTCAGCCCCTCCCACGAGCCATGCTCTGCTCACATTGTATTGAGAAGCACATAGATCCAGTCATGTCACTGAATCTAATATTAGAATTTGCCTTTCACTGATTTCTTGAGTACATAACTAAGTAGAATAAACTTCAGCTTTAAATGTATACAGTATCTATTCATATTTGTGGTCGCCTATAATTACTTTGACTTTGTGTTCTCCATTCCAGGAGAAGCCTGATTCTGGCTATTACTTTCATGACGACAACCTAATCATACTTCTAGGTAACCTGTTTGCCGCTGGGACGGAGACAACTTCCACCACTCTGAGATGGGGACTTCTGCTAATGATGAAATACCCTGAAATCCAGAGTAAGAACTCCATGCACTGCATATGTAGGACTTAATTAAAAGTGCAATGGGGGTTATTTACAAAAACTGGAGAGTGCAAGATCTAGTGCAGCTATGCACAAACCACTCTGCTTCTAGGTTTTATTGTCAACTTAATTGAACAAGCTGACATTAGAAGCCAATTGGCTACCATGCAAAGCTGCACCAGATTCTGCATGCACCAGTTATAGTAAATACGTCCCAATCTGTCTAAAACTGGTATTTCCCTTATCGAGTCTGGTGGGCTAAATCAGATCTCAGATTTGGCCTGAAAGTGATACCCAAACCATAATTTTTTTTGTACATGTACTTTGCGGTGCTCAGAGTTTAGCTTTAAGCACCAAACTGGAAACCTTATTTAATTCTTTAATTTTCAAAGCAAACTCCACCCTCCATCCATCCATGTCTCCATGCTTTATTTTGTTGAGAAATCACTTTGGAAAACACCCCCTAGCATTTGTAGTCATGACCATCTTGAGAAAGGGCAGAAGATTCATGTAGCATTTACTTCCTGGAATCCATCTGCTCTTGGCTCAGGCATGCATGCAAGAGTGTATGCTGAGATGAGAGGCCTCTCCTCCCTTCCTCCAGATGGAAGAAAAAAAATGCCCATGAAGATTCTTGGGATGTATGACTATATTTTGGCCTAGGCCAGGAACCAACTAGAAAGTGAATTTTGTTTTTCTGATAATTTAATTTTTGGAGATTCAGGTGTACACAAATCTGACTTGACGTGTGTGACATCACATGATGCGATAGTAGTTCAGGCCCATGGAAATATGAATAAGATCACTTTTTCAATGATTCAGATAACAAATGAATCAAAATTTTGTTCTGTTCATTAACTTGAATGCACATGATGCCTGTCAATAGATATTGTCTAATTAGGTCATGCCATTTCTTTTGGTAAATACAAAATACATTTCTTTTGGTGGGTTGGACTAGTGGAAACATTGAATCCATCCAATTAGAATCTGTGCAATTCGATAAATCGTATTTATAGCAATGTTCCGGAAAACTTTTTTTTTTTTTTTTTGATTCCATCCAGACCAACAAATATATGAAATGAATGCAGAAGATACAAAACAAATTGGGTCAATATGACAATGCAAAATTCTTCAATGAACAAATGCATCTGAAACATAACAAATTTTTGCATGCACATATCTAGAAGCAACTGATAATGTAAAGTTGTAAATATAATTAACTATTATAATCTTCTAAAATATTATAATTGTTGTGCTGGTTTCCAGATTCCTAAGAAAAATGATAAATGCACTTTTTTTTTTTTTTTTTTTTTTTTTTTTTTTTTTTAACCTGCATAACCTTTTCTTCCATTTGAAAATGATTGCACCAACTGTCACCTTCTAGCTTTACCCTCATGTTACATAACTATTAGTAAATGTAAAGAAGATTGTATAGAAATTGCACAATTAGTTTGTAATACAATTGTGTTGAAAAGCTTGTATACCCTGTCAGAAATCATGACATTTTGGCGTTGATATTGAAAATATGACTGATCCATGCCAAAGAACTGTCCTTTATTTAAGGATGGTGATCATTTGAAGCCATTTACAATCATAACTGTTTGGCTCCTTTTTTAAATCCTAACTATAACAGAAATCACCCAAATGGCCATGATCAAAACTTTACATACCCTGGAATGTTTGACCTTGGTACTGACACACGGGCTAAAATGGCAATTGACCTCCCTGGCGGTATTCCTGAGTGTAGCTCGGGGTAAAGTTTCAGTACCACAAGCGGTAACCCCGAGCTACATTCGGGCTTATCATGCGGCGCTGCTCCGGGATCCCTCGATCACTTACCTTGTCCTGCGCTCCCACGATGTCCCTCCTGCAGTGTCCCCAGCAATGTAATCTGGTGGATGCCGGCATCTGTCATCTGGGTTCCATCCCCTGCGAGTGTCAGGACGTATGGGGGACGGAATGGCGGGAAATTTGAAAATGACATTCACTAAAATCATAGTAACACATTACTGTAGCAAACCATTTCACATACATTTTGTCCTGTGCCCTGCCTGCATTTTAACTGTTCTTACTGCCTGGAAACTGAGAAATGTCCATGGAGTCCAAAAAACATCCCTTTATTTCAAAAGTGGTTTTAGACCAACTAGAGAACAGTGATCGTAAATTAGAACCACTTGCAGAATTGAGTGATAATGATTCGTGGGGAAATTCATCATCAGACACTGAAAACTATTTGCGACTTTGCTCAGTGATGTGCGAACTTGGCGCTATATCAAATTTCAGTGTTTTTGGTTTGATTACATTATTGAATTTTATTATTATATTTTTTATGATTATTTATTAAGTTATAATTTATGATTTCAAGTTTTATCATACCCGGATGTTTACTAGACTCTTGTTCAGACAGACTTCAGTAAGTTATTCCTAAATTACAGGCCTACAATAAAAATAATACATATTTCCATGCAAAAAAAGTACCGCTTTGAGCACAGAAATATGGACATAATCAGACCACTAGGGAGGTTAAAAGGTTTACCAGTGTATAAATCAATGAGTTTTTAAGGAGCACGATATGGCAATACTTGAAGAAAAATGTGGTGATGTTGCCAGAAACATTTGTTGCACCAATGCAACAAAAAAGCCCAGTGAGGCATGCTAAGGTGTTGTCAGGCATATTGTCATGTTTTTTTATGATATTAGCACAGTAAAGGCTTATTTCTGATAACTGAACCATGCAGCTCATTTTTCTTCAAGTATTGTAGTCTCTTTCCAAAGCAGCCTGTGTTTCTCCTGAGTTTACCTGGTTTTTATTTTTATTCTGGCAATCCTTCTGGGATTTTTTTTTTTTTTTTCTTTTTATTTTTATTCTGGCAATCTGTCACTGCAATCCTTCTTGGTTTTTCTGACCTTAGCTTAGTATCAAGAGATTGCAGAACTTTCCACTTCTTAATACATGATTAAAAGTACTGAATGGCATATTCAAGGCTTTGGACATCTTTTTATATTTTTTCCTTTTTTATAAAGTTCCATGACCTTGTTACACAAGTCTTTTTTTTGATGGTTTTCTGCTCCCCATGGCTTAGTATCTAGCCTGCTCAGTGCATTCACATGAGAGCTAACAAACTCATTGCCTATTTATACACAGACTAATTGCAATGTAAAAAGCCACAGATGTGGGAAATTAACCTTTTTAATTGCCATTTTATCCCGTGTTTCACCTTTTTTGTCTGTGCCAAGGCCAAATATTGCAGGGTATGGAAACGTTTGATCAGGGCCATTTGGGTGACTTCTTTTATGATTTAAAAAGCAGCCAAACAACTCAATGTGATAAATGGCTTCATATGATCACTATTCTTAAATAGATAGTTTTGGCATGATCCATCATCTTTTCAAGATCTATGCCAAAATTTCATGCCAAGGTATGAAACATTTGAATACAACTGTGTCCCATCCACACTCACTTTCTAAAATAGAAGGGTCATAAAAATAACAGCTCTGAATATTTCCAGATGTATGTATTCTTTGAACAGGGACAGTCCAGAAGGAAATTGATGATGTGATTGGTTCCTCAAGACCACAAAGTTCTCACAGGAAAGAAATGCCCTATACAGACGCTGTCATTCATGAGATACAAAGATTTGCCAATATTGTACCAAACAACCTTCCCCATGAGACAACTACAGATGTCACATTCTGGGGATACACTATACCAAAGGTATGTACTCTAGACAAGACCGTTCACCATCCTTTTTTCTATTTTGCTCTATTTAACAACTGCTTTTATATTGATATTTAAGGCCCAAAAACAAATCTAATATTGCATTTAGATGTGGTGGTTGCATTTTTTTTTTCCTTCTGGTGATCCTGCCAGTAACACTACTTATCCTGCAGTGAAAACCCTCTCTCCTGTATCAAGGGAGGAATAATGTTACTCAATGGTGAAGGATCTGGGGGTTCTGGTAGATACCAAGCTTAATACTGGCATGCAATGCCAAGCTGCAGTTTCTAAAGCGAGCAAAATCCTCTTGTATTAAAAGGGGTATAGACTCCAGAGATCATTTTACCCTGCTACAAATTAGGAAGACCTCATCTGGAATATGCAGTTCTCTTTTGGGCACCAATTCACAAAAAACATTGGAACTGGAGAAAGTACAGAGAAGGGCAACCAAACTGATAAGAGGCATGGAGGAGCTCAGCTATGAGGAAAGATTAGAGGAACTGAATTTATTCTCTCTTGAGAAGATGAGATTAAGGGGGATATGATCAACATGTATAATACATCAGTGGTTCATATAGTGAACTCGGTGTAGAGCTATTCACCCTGAGGTCATCAGAGAACAAGGGGGCACTCTTTACGTCTGGAGGAAAAGAGATTTAATCTCCAAATACAGAAAGGTTTCTTCACAGTAAGAGCTGTGAAAATGTGGAACAGACTCCCTCAGGAGTTGGTTTGGCCAGATCTGTAGATTCTTTGAAAATCCCTGGATTCTTTCTTGGATACACAGAATATAACTGGATACTAACATTTTATAGGTAAAGTTGATCCAGGGAATATCCAATTTGCCTCGGATCAGGAAAGAACTTTTTTTTTTTTTTTTCCCTGAAGGATCAAATTGGATCAAGCTTTGCTGGATTTTTTTATTTTTTTTCCTCTGGCTGAAAAAGGAAAAAAAAAAAAAGTTAATCCTATACCCACAGTTTATCCAGACCAACTATGTAACCCAGGACAGTACTATAGAATATCTCCCCCATCCTCTTCTCCATAACAGGGGGGGGGGTTCTGTAGTCTACAGATCTGAGAGCAATTAACAGTGCAGCATAGGCAGTGCACTCAGGAAATGTCAGTTTATTAGATATTTGACAGGATCAGCAGGATTTGTTTGTGCTTATTGAACAGATATAATACAACACTTTCAAAGGTTTTGCTCTCTTCGTAAAGTCCTTTCACACTGATACATTGAAAAAAACATGCTTAGGCATTCTTGTCCTGTTTTTTGATGAGTTTCCGGTTGCTTGCGCCTGTGCAAAAATGGACATGTGACTCAAATTGGTGCATTTTTGCTATGTTTCCATTCACTTCAATAGGGAGATGCATTTTGGTGCATTCTTTTTACCGCACCAAACTTGTACCAAAAATGCAGCAATAACATTTTTTAAAAAAATGCAATTGAAACACAACTGACTGGTGTGACTAGAGTTCCATGGGATTCAAAGGGATGCATTTTTTTTTTTTTTTTTCTTCTGCTTTTTTTTTTTAAATGAACTAATCAACTGATAGTTGGGGCCCTTTCACACTGATCAAAAGTGTTTTTAAATCTTTTCAATAATGGTATAAAAATTGCTTGTTGATCCTGATGGAAATCCAGTTCCATCTTGCATGTGATCCACTCTCCAGTGTTATAGAAAAAAAGTTATAGGATTACTGAACACCTTTCCCCTATGTTATGAAAAACAGGAGAGGGATGTGTTCTGCTCTAACACTTTCTGTCCTAGGGTGACAACACTGCTTCTCCATAGATACAATACAGTGAGCGTTGTCATCCTAAGACAGGAAATATATTACTGCCAGATCATTAAATGATAAAGGGAAATAGTTTAACACTCAAATGCTGGAAGATCAGTATACTTTATAGATGTTATGGCTGGATGTATACTTTTTTTTTTTTTTTTTTCCCTACCCTAGCATATAGCATCAAAACCAATTTACAACCACATGAAGTATTAGAAAATTAGCAGAATTAGGATCATACCTCTGAAACATGACTAAATTACATATCTCTGCAAACATGATACTGGTTTCTAGTTAAGTAAACCAATACGATTACAGATGTCAATCTAGGTTCACTCCAATGTGGGTCTGGGAACTCATGTGAATTGCATGTGGTCTCGTACCTGTAGACAAAATGCCCTGACCTTTAGCAGATGTGCAATTCTTCTGCACATTTTCAGGTGTGCAAAACTGCATGGTGTCAGAGCCATGCAGTCCTGTACAGCTGCCCTGCAGGTGTGTTTTTGAAAAGGGGTTTGGGACATCCCCCCCCCCCCCCCCCCCCCCCCCCCCATGAATGGGCTGCTGTTCCCACATGCATGCACCTGCACAGAGATGCAAATATGTGAACCTAAGGTAACCACTTCAAGTCCAGACACTTTCACCCCCTTCCAGTCAAGGCCACTTTTCAGCTTTTAGTGCTATCACACTTTGAATGACAATTGCCCATTCATGCAACATTCAGTGCTGTGATCAGTCACATGGTACAAGGCTGTTGTGAATAGCCTTGTACCATGTGGCCTCTGATCAGATTTCATGAGTAAGCACTGATGTCAGTAAGTGACATCTTGTTTACTACTATTCATGTAGTCACTCATTGGCCAATCAGTGATCACGTAATTTGGGACCTATCACAGGTCCCATACAGTGATCTGTGTCCTCTGGATGTTCATCACATTTCAGAAGCATGATGCACTTGCCACACATCTAAACTTTGCCTAAGGCCCTGGAGGCATTTTAGGTATACATAGCTGCTGCTTACAATAACCCATGGCATTAAATGTCTATATACAACAGTACATGGATTAACACATTACTTGCATAAACCTCTGAATGCATTCAGGGGTGTGCAGCCTTATACATGAGGGGGTAGTAATGTAAACCCACAGCAGTCCAGCAGGCTGTCCACAGTAGCTTTGTATTCTTGGCACAGAAATATCCCCACAATCTACAATGTATGCCCAAAAGCACTTTTGTGTAGTGCACCCCCAAAAGAGGGCCAAGTTTACCAGGGCCTATCTCCTTAGAGCGCCCACAGCCTTTTCTCTGGCACCAAAGAACAGTCCAGGAGTTTTTTTTTTAATATTTGGAACAGTGAACTTGGATAGAGGGGGAACGTGGGATATCCCAACAACTGCAGAACTGATCAACATGAGGACTTCTAAATTTCTGGCTGCATGTGTACAAAAGTTCTACAAGATCTCTATGCTGACAGTGACTAGTAACCCTTTTTAGGGAGGTTAAAAGCTACGCAGTCACTACTCTTCTGCACTGATCATTTTACTTTAAGCCACAGGATCTCCTGCTGATATTCATAAGGCTGTTCTAGTGAGAGACGTAGACTCACACCACCATAGCACAGCTGGGCTATCCCACAACTTCCTCCTGGCTCTCTCCAGTCAGCTTTTCCAAACCTAACTTGATCATCAGGCTTGCAAATATGCCCCCCAGCTAAGCCTAGTTATGTCTTCCTGAATTCTAACTCTAGAATCCTGCATTGGGGTTACAGGGGTCTTCTTCAGCAGGACTGGACCCAGGAAACTGTACCTTGCTGCTCAGGCTGCATTCTATTTATGGGCTCTTTTGCCACCTACTGAGCACATCTCCTAAGATTTGGGTGGAGTCCCATAAATATTGAGGCTGCATACCCTGTTCTTTCCACTAAGCAGCAGATTGTGAAACACTAAGCAGCTCTAATTAACCTTTGCTTCTCTGACAGGGGGGGGCAAACTGCGTGAAGCCTTTAACCTCAGAATAAAACTTTAAAAAGTATTGGATATAGTGTTATGTCAGACCTTAACTCCACAGACAGTGGTCACAGGGCAGAAAAGCTCTCATCTTCTACAAGCCAGGCTCATACAGGCACTCAGCTTGAGTTATAAAGCCAGGGTTTGCACAGGATGAAGGCCCCTTGGGCTCTAGCAGTGAGGAGCCTTGACTGAAATTAGTAGATGGTTCCATATAATGCTTTGAAGTAACTCAATCATGATTGACTATTATGACATTTGAAGTTTGGGCTTTCTCTTTCTGCATGTCAGGTGGCTTGAACAGCAAAGCACTACCCCTAGTGACCATGATAGCGTAAGCCTGGGCTTTGGTGATCTAGCCCAGACTCTGACCCTGTGCACCACATTATTTAGACTGGAATTGTCACTAAACTTCTGAAAAAAATTACCAACCCTTCTCTCGACTCTCCTCCTTTACTCATTTTACACCATCTCCATCTTTCTTTTTGTGCCATCAAAATAATTTTATCTTTATTCAGGGAACTTACATTATTCCATCGCTGACAACTGTTTTACGAGATAAGACTTACTTTGTGAAACCAGAAGAATTTTACCCTCAGCATTTTTTGAATGCCAACGGACAGTTCTTACGAAATGAAGCTTTTATGCCTTTCTCAGCAGGTAATATACTGTGGGACTATAATGCATTATTCATAATAAAAGAGGGACTTTAAATTACCTATTTATAATACATATTAAACGTTGCTGTGCCAATGTATCATCATTTGTGCAAAAGCCACAGATAATAGTCCTAGAGTTTTTTAATATATGCAATATATATTTTTGATATTTTAAGTTTCCTTTTTTGCAGGGAAAATGCAACATTTCCTAATACCCTAAGAACATTCAATCCTAAACAAAAATAGCTTAAAAACATCCAGCCAGAAGAGAATTGCCTAAAACAATAGCCCAACAACGTTCTAGTTTGTTTTTAGTTTCTCTTCTGGCCAAATAGTAGAAAGAGACAATAGTCTGAAGCTATTTTCTATTCTAGTCAAAATGCTTAAACAATATTCCAAAAACATTTGACCAAAAATAGCCTAAAACAATGGCCTAAGAGCATTTCACCAGAAGCAAAAAAGCCTTAAGAGCATTACGTTTTGCCCCATTCGCACAACATTCATAGCTTTACACATTGCAAAAAAACTTTCCAAAACTAATGTTGGTTAATGCACCCAAAATGAATGTACATTGACTTTCAATTAAAAGCGTTTTTTTTTTATTTTAAAACCATGATTAAATGATCAAAGGAAATACGAAATACTTTAGTGCAGAGGCTGATATTTATGGACATCCACTATAAGGTCCCTTTCAGACTGGCGGACTCTGCCTGGGGTATCAAAATGCTCATTGGGGATCTGGTCACTGATCCCTGGTGAGCAGCAGGTGGATGACAAGTCTGTGTCTTCTCTGCTTATGTAGAGTGAACCTGGACATAGCCTGTTGTCATCTATGGGGTGCTGGATTGAAATGGATCACCTGTCCATTTGCATCTGGCTGTCATCTGATCTACTAGACAGGCAGGGAATGTATCCCTGCCCATCTGTTTTTTAGTGGATCAGATGCAGGGAGGTGGAAATGGACACATGCCAATTTACATGTGCCTATACTTAAAGGGCAATGGATGGTCTGCCCAGGTCCTCCTGAAAAAAAGACAGGTGGATCCTATTGCTCTGTGTGAAAGGGACCTTAAGGAATAAAAGTTGTTTGAGCAAGTGTGTGGTATAATTTATGCATTTATCTATTTTATTAGGTAAGAGAAGCTGTGCTGGGGAGAACTTGGCTAAAATGGAACTGTTCCTCTTCTTTACAATATTGCTGCAAAATTTCACCTTCCAGGCTCCTCCTGGGGCTGTTCTGGACCTCACTCCTGCAATAGGAATTACCACGCCTCCTCAGATTCACATGATCTGTGCTGTACCCCGAACCTAGACAGATTCAGCCTTTTGTTGGGGGTTAATTTGCGAAACATTTTGACTTTACATATTTGGACATTTTCTAGAAGAAAACCTGTGCACACCGGACTGGAAAGGGAAAGAAGTGTAATGTTTTACAATGACATGCTGCGCTCCGGGGTTTGTATGTGGAGAGAGGGAGTTAAAAAAAAAAAAGTGAACTTGTAATTTTATAGAAACCATGTTACCAACTTAAAACTGCAGGTAGAAGCTTAGAAAATTTACACAATTTAAATGTTTCTTTCTTTTCCATCAGTGACTTTTTATTCATTTACAATATGCCTTTGAAGTAGCTAGAAAATACGACTACTCCAAAATTCCTTAGCACATGCATCTTCCTTCATTTACTTAGCCCTTTCCTGTTCTGCAAGTGTAAAATTACTATTTGCATTGGCCCAGCTCCTCCCCTCACCACCTTATCTACCTTCTATGTAGCTTCCAGGAGGGGGAATACTATAGAATGTTACTTTAGTAACTGCTCTGAATTGAGGCTACAGACATCACATCCAAGAGGGTGAGGTGCAATAAACGTTTCAGGGCTTATAAATGTGTACACAAGGGAGGCTTTTATAGATGGAAAAACATGTCCAAAATACATTAAATGGACTAATAGTATAATCTTATGGGAAGGTTCACTGTCTGTTAGTTAACGTAAATATAAATAATGTGAGCATCACAAGTTTTTTGAAAAGTTATTAACCACTTGAGCCCCAGAGGATTTACCCCCCTTAATGACCAGGCCTTTTTTTGCTGTTTGGCGCTGCACTAATTCAAATGATAATTGCGCGGTCATGCAATGCTATACCCAAACAAAATTTACGTCCTTTTTTTCACACAAATAGAGCTTTCTTTTGGTGGTATTTGATCACCTGTGCGCTTTTTTTTTTTTTTTTTGCGCTATAAACAAAAAAAAACCACGAAAATTTTGAAAAAAAACAATATTTTCTACTTTCAGCTATAAAAAAATATATCGTAAACTCAAAGTTAGTCATAAATTTAAGCCAAAATGTATTCTGCTACATGTTTTTGGTAAAAAAAAATCCCAATAAGTGTATATTGATTGCTTTGTGTGAAAGTTATAGCGTCTACAAACTATCGTATAGATGCTGTAATTTATGCCTTTTTTTGCTATACAGCGCTGCACTAATTCAAATGATAATTGCGCGGTCATGCAATGCTGTACCCAAACGAAATTTACGTCCTTTTTTTCACACAAATAGAGCTTTCTTTTGGTGGTATTTGATCACCTGTGCGCTTTTTATTTTTTGCGCTATAAACAAAAAAACCACAAAAATTTTGCAAAAAAAAAAAAAACAATATTTTTCTACTTTCAGCTATAAAAAATATATCGTAAACTCAAAGTTAGTCATAAATTTAAGCCAAAATGTATTCTGCTCCATGTTTTTGGTAAAAAAAATCCCGTGCATTAGCGGGCAAACTGGCGCTATCTAGGAGGGGCGCTAACACTATCGGAAGTCACCAGTGACACTAATACAGTGATCAGTAAAAATCTGTTCACTGTAATCAATGACACTGGTGACAGGGCAGTGAAGGGGTTAACTGGCCAGGGGGGGGGGGGGGCGATCAAGGGGTTAAATGGGATTTCTGGTGCACTAGCGGGCAAACTGGCGCTATCTGGGAGGGGCGCTAACACTATCGGAAGTCGCCAGCGACACTGATACAGTGATCAGTAAAAATTGGTTCACTGATCAGTGACACTGGTGACAGGGCAGTGAAGGGGTTAACTGGAGGGGGGGGTGATCAAGGGGTTAAACGGGATTACTGGTGTACTGGCGGGCAATCTGGCGCTATCTGGGAGGGGCGCTAACTCTATCGGAAGTCGCCAGCGACACTAATACAGTGATCAGTAAAAAATTGGTTCACTGATCAGTGACACTGGTGACAGGGCAGTGCAGGGGTTAACTGGGGGGGGGGGGCGATCAAGGGGTTAAACGGGATTACTGGTGTACTGGCGGGCAAACTGGCGCTATCTGGGAGGGGCGCTAACTCTATCGGAAGTCGCCAGCGACACTGATACAGTGATCAGTAAAAATTGGTTCACTGATCAGTGACACTGGGTGACAGGGCAGTGCAGGGTTAACTGGAGGGGGGGGGGGCGATCAGGGGTTAAACGGGATTACTGGTGTACTGGCGGGCAATCTGGCGCTATCTGGGAGGGGCGCTAACTCTATCGAAAGTCGCCAGCGACACTGATCAGTAAAAATTGCTTCACTGATCAGTAACACTGGTGACAGGGCAGTGAAGGGTTAACTGGAGGGGGGGGGGGGCGATCAGGGGTTAAATGTGTCCTAGTGTTCTAACTGTAGTGTAGTGCTTGTGTACTCACTTTTTGGATGTCTTCTTCTCTGGAACGGAATGTGTCCAGGCAGAGAAGAATGACATCATATCATATCCTGCCCTGTGTATGTCAACACAGGACAGGATAGGACAGGGACCGATCATGTGATTTCAGCCAGAAATCACTGGCTGAAATCTAATGATTGATCCCTCCTGGATCAAATAGTGTCACCCGCGGGTCACCCTGCCGGCGAAAGTGTCGGAGCGCGGAACCCGTTTTTAAACGTGGTTTTGCGCTCCACTGCCGCCCTGCACACGTATATACACAGTGGCAGGGCGGCAAGCGGTTAAAGATTAAATATCAAGCAAACCAGAAGGTGGTTTCATCTTGTATCTTATAATAATTGCTCTGTGGGTACATCCCTACATAGAAAAAAAAAAAAAAGCAGCACAACCTTCTATCTCTACAAAACAAAGAAGGGTGAGGAAAGATTGGGACTCTAAGTATGTCAACGAAAAAAAACACACATGGTTTGTTTTTCTTTTTACATGTAAAAGTCAAACCATCACAAATTATAAATTGTGACCATTTGAAATGTATAATTTCAGCCACAAATTGTTAGATGGTCACATTTTATGATTTGTGATAGACCTTGGTTTTAATTGTATAATAAAGCTGTTACTTTTATTTTTAGGTACTTATATATTACTGGCATTTTAAGCAGTGCTTTACATATATAGTACATTCACATCAGTCCCTAACCCTCAAGGGGTGTACAATCTAAGGTCCCTAAGTCACATTCATGCATGCACATACTAGAAAGGAGCCAATTCCCCTACCAGCATGTTGTTGTAGTGTGGGTGGAAGCTAGAATGCCTGGAGGAAACCCATGCAGGCACAGGGAGAACATGCAAAGTCCAGGCAGGGGTGCAGATTTGAACCAACAACCCTAGTACTGCCAGGCGGAAGTGCTAACCAATTAGCCACTGTGCTGCCCATTTCTATGTGTTTTCTCTTAGTGGCATACAAGTCCCATTCTTTCCTCACCCTTCTTTGTTTTGTGGAAATACAGGGTTTCCATTAAAGATTAAATAATCTTGAGATGCCCCAAATGATTAATTGGTCAAAGGCTAAAGCCCATTTTTTTCCAGAACAAAGTTACAACAACACTTTAAATGTTGCAATAAAAGAAAACCACACGCAAAGAAAAGCATAAAACAACATAAGCCTGCACATCGTTGGGTTTCATTGTTTTTCAGAGGCTCGATACATAAAGAGGTGTCTGAGCTAGATGGGGGGAGAGGAAGGAAGTCTACAAAAAGGAGAATGATCCCATATTTCCCAAATAGATCGAAAATGAGTAATCACCCACTAGAGCTGTAAGATATTCCATTTACCTGATTGCAAAGCTCGCTCTTAAAAGATGTGTGCTAAGGTGCCTACTCCTCCCATGCACCTCCAGCACTTGTCAGACAGATTTGGGCTGATCGCATGAAGCACTACAAGGGTCTTGCACCAATGCATCAATATTTTATATAAGTTTTCTTTATACACAATGGTGAGGGTAATTAACAAGAGTACCTTTTATTGAAAAGTGGTTTTTATATAAAGGTAATAAGATGTTGTTTGGAGGGACCTTTAACAGCTATCCTCTCAAAATCTGTGTGACGATCTAGTGTTAGAAAAGAATTGAAGGAATGGGAAAAAAATGATGGAACTGTAAATAGGTATATCTGGCTGATACAGGTATTGTGGATTTCCACACCCTTATCTCCTCAAATGACCGAATCCTGCACAAGACCAGATGGATCAGCTGACGGAGTTGAAATATCCCATTAATAGCCCAAGAGCTCATCTGTGTTTAAGACAGACTATCTGGGAGCTCCGGATTATATTAAACATTCAACAATGGAGAGCATATGGACAATAACTGTTGAGATTTTACACAAGTTGACAAGACTTTGAGGGTAAATTTCATAGATTCAAGCAAAAGAGGGGGAGGGTACTGAGGTAATGCATAATGAAAAGGGTGTAACAAAGAACATGTGTGGATCTGATAAATATAGTCTAGTTCAATCTCTGCCCCTCTTTTCTGAGGTTTTTGGGTAAACCATGATAGCGTTTGTCTCAAATGAGTGCCTAAGCCTCTGTTATTTTTAGATACCAAAAGACCCTTTCACCCTATTTGAAGCTTTCTGGCATGCCAAATAAATCTAAGAAATGCTCGTTGTAGAGTTTGCAGTTGAGCTTGTGCGATCGCAACTGGGAGAGTCTCAAAAAGGTAAAGTAGCTTTGGCAGAATTGACATCTTTAACACATTTACCCTACCCAGGAAAAATATCTTATAAGCATCCCATTGATTTAGGAGAGCACTGATTTCCCAAAACAGTGGAGGATAGTTAGCCTCAAACAACTGAGCATAAGTTGGAGTTATATGAGTGCCAAGGTATTTAATAGATGACATGCACCAGTGGTATAAGTAATTTTGTTGGAGCAATGAAAGGTCTTGGGATGGAATATTAAGGGGCATAGCTTCCGTCTTTGAAGTATTTATTTTATAGCCAGATAGATCACTAAAAGATTGTGAAAGTTTATGCAAAGCAGGTAATGACAAGTGTAGTTTAGTAATAGTCAATAGAACATCATCTGCAAAAAGTGGAGGTTTATATTCCTTCCCC